GTACATATTTTACAGCCTCGGACACCCCCCGCCCACCCGTCTGCGGACCCTTGCATTGGATTCCTGCTGCAACCTCGTTTGAACCTTAACAAATAGCGACGAAAATTGCAACAAATGTGTTACGAATGGTTCGTGATCGTGGCATGACAGAATGTCGCCGGCAACAACAACAACAACAGCAACAGTTTGCTGCCTCCTCAGCCACAACTACAGCAAACTGAACCAGAGAATTGTAGACCAATGAGGAAATCGTTACCTTGGCTTAAACCACTTAAACATCACGAGTTGAACTCTTAACAGCCTGGGACTGGGACTGCGGCTGCGGCTGCGGCTGGGAGAAGACTTTCGGGGCGCTCGCTGGCTGATGATGTTGATGAGGAGGAGACGACGACAAAGAAGTTGACAACGGCAGCGGCAGCAGCAGCAGCAGAAACAACAACGAGATTAGCCGCGTTGATGAGAGAAGAGAGAGAGAGAGAAGGAGATGGTGGGAGGGAGGGAGGGGAGATCGAGAGTGGTAGCCATGGGCTCCTGAGGTTGCTTGTTTCTTCATGGTATCTCTCTGGCCTGGTCTGGTCGATTACAACGTAACCAAGTGTTTTTGCTGTTGCTGTTGCTGTGGCTGTTGCTGATGCAATAAATCGCCGACATTGCTGAAAGTTGTTGCAGAGATTGTGATAAAAGTAAATCGTTGCAGCAGCACTGAGACACGATCAGGCAGGCCCTCGAGGACCAGGACCAGGACCAAAACGGGGACCAGACCCAGACCCAGAACCAGACCCAGATCATCGATATCAAATTACTTTGGATTCAAATGCTGCCAGAACATAGTCTGTCGCATCCTCCACTGCTTTTCTTATCAATTTCGTTGGGCCAACTCTCCGGGAGAGCACGTAGAAAAAGTTAACACACACTCGCCTGAACAGTCGTGGGAAAAGGGGAAGTGGAAGTGGAAGGGGAAGGGGTGGGGAGGGGAGGGGAGGGGGAAAACTTGTGCCAACCACTTGGAATTTTTGGGTAAAAGCATCCCCAAAAGCGTTACGTTGGCGTATTCTAAACTTTGGCGCTACTTTTTGCCCATGAAGCTAAAGTCATTATCATTAAAGCCATACCATACCATACCATGCCATGCCATGCCATACTTTTCTGCCAAAAAACTTTCACTCCTCTGTGACTGTTTCGCTGTGTGTGTGTGTGTGTGCGAGCAAGGATGGGCGGAAAGGAGCTGAGCGGAAAATATTGTAAATTGTATCTAACAGATACTTTATCGAGCCGAAATAGAAACTTTTGCCATTGTCCGCGAGCAACAAACTGACACACATGCGAAACATAGAGAGAGAGGGAGAGAGAAGGGAGTTGGGAATTACATGCCAAGATAATGAGAGTATAACTGGGCGTGGCATCAACTTGCGAGTATTCTCCAACTGCAAGGGAAAACTTTTGTGTGCGTGCGTGTGTGTGTGTGTGTGTCGCAGTGGAAAAGTTTTTGCGCTCTGCTGCATGGAAAATTGTCATTCAAAAAGATGCAAAAAGTAATATTTTCGGATTTTTTTTTTTACTAATTCCAAAATCATTTCTACGAAAATTATATTCTCTTTGGGAAATGTGGGAAAGAACCCGTCAAGAGCTATCTATTGAAATCCAAGAATCGATCGGCCTAGTGGACAGAACTATAAGCCTATCGATCAGAAGTCTATATATAGTTTTTATTATGTAAACAGGAAGACTCTTATGACTTTTAGCATCCTCTGCCTCCCTAGGCATTTGGTATTATTTTTTATTATTTTTTTACCATGGAAATGGGTGCCTGCGTCCCCCATTTCTGCATCAGTAGATCTATCTGTGGAAAGCTTTACAGCACTACGAAGGCCAGAATTTGTCTGTGGAAATAAATAAAGAATATAAAGAATGGAAATTACTTGTGGAGAGACCCAAACAACAAACAATTGAGACAGAATAGTTCAAGAATGTTGTAAGTAGACGATATATTGAAGGTGAAATTCTAACTCAGATGCAGACGTGGCATCTGTGGTGTCCCCTGAAATGCAGGTAATCTCTAGGCCCTGGTCTGAGAGCAGATAAAACTAACCCAGTGCTGGAGGGACGGCTTAAATCCACCAATTTGATGGCCATAATATGTCTTCATTGCTCAGACACTGACATGAGCATGATTCTGTGGTAATCATAACCCCTCGGGCTATGGAAATCAGCGATGCATTGTTGGCATCCACCGTTGCCGGTCGCTGGCACTGCCTGCCATTAAATTGTAACCAAGAAATCGACGGTCCGGCAACTGGAGCTGAAAGAGTGAAAGGCACAGTGCAGAAGGCGAAGAAGAAGGAGAAGAGAACTTGCAGCTGGTTCGGTTTCGGTCCTCCTGGCATGCCTGGCCTGGCCTGGCCTGGCCTGGCCTGGCTTGGCCTGGCCTGGGTAACCGTAACCTGATTCAATGAGCTTGAAAATCTATCACTTCTTCTGCTGCATGCGGGCCTTTCTTTTTGCCACACATTTCTGCCTATAAAAAGGCCAAGACTTGATTGACCAGCAGCGGCAGCGGCAAGCAGCTCCCATTCTGTTTATGAGCCTTTTTTCGGAATACTTTCTAAAGTAGAGGCAGCCATGGCCCGCAGCTGTTTTATTACAAATTGGAAATTTGTCTCAAAAGCGCCCAAGGAGACGACATTTGCATTCGCCAAAGCTCGACAAATTTCCAAACGCATTTATCACCGCACTCAGATCTGCAGCGAACTCAGTCCAGACACGACACGGCACGACACAGCCGCGGTCTGTCTCTCCATTCGTTTGTCTTTGATTTTACTTTCGAAATGGCACTTAATTAGTGGCAAGGGGAATACTCTGGCTGACCGAAAGGCACAGCCCAAAACGGGGAACTGCTGGGGCTGCCATTTGCATACATTCGGTGGAAAATTCGGTGAGGTCAAAGTTTGACTGTGAGAATGCCGAAAAGTGAAAAGTGCAAAGACGGAAATATTCCCTTTTCTTACATCCCTAGTTAATACTCATTTTCTCTAGTTAATTCTCGATGCTACAGCAATTACTTGGCTAAGTCCAAGCTTAAATTAAAATGCGATCCTCAGCCATTCTTCAGGTTGGTTAACTCATCTTTCCCTCATCTTTACACTATCTCTAGGCCTGCTTTTGTCTCGTCGGGGGGGCCTCAAGGTAGGCATCTTGGTCCCTTGTTATTGAATGATCTTCGCCAAATTATAACTCATTCCCGAGTCCTAATGTATGCTGATTATGTCAAGCTATGTTTTTCTTATAGTGATCCCGTGTCCCCCTAATGACCTTCCATCCAAGCAAGTCTTACCTTTTTATGTTTTTGGGCATTATCCGCTATGTCGAATAAAGCCAAAGAAGTTATTGGTTTTATCATTAGATGGTCCATGGAATTTACTAAGCTACTTTATGTTTCTCTTGTTTCTCCGCGGAAGGGTTCCACTTCTAGACATCTTCCTTGTTAAGGGAGTTCCACTCTCTTGAAAGCTAAACTTCTCTCTTCCACTGCCCTCATTTGTCCTTTTAGTATTTCTGTCCTCTGTTTCTCTTCATCTTTAACTCCTACTTCATCCTACTAACTACTAAATTTCGGACTTTGCCGTAATTACAATATATTTTATCAGTTGTTTTAGTAAAGCTTTCGTTTCAGTTAATCACAATCTTCTTATCCATAAACTATCGTTCCTTGGGTCACTGGGACCCTGCTGTTTTGTGACACTTGTGCTATAAAGATCAAATATAATTTCATTTGACTTTCTTCAATCTTGAATTTTTGTGTCATAGAAATTTCCATAGAGAATAGCCTGCTTGTAGAGTCACTTATGTTGTACGTTTTTCCTATAAAGTTTAGAAATTTGGTTACAAAACTTAAGCTGATCAATGACTAGAAGGGCCCGAATAAAATCCAACCGCATCACCCTCCCAAACAGCATTCTGAATGCATTCTTTTACACACAGATTTCGGTTGGAACTTTCAATATTTTTTGTGGCATACTTTTGGGGATTTGGCGAAAAACATTTCTGTTTCCTCCGGTAGAAACATCGTAGAGGGCTTATTCTAAATTATGTATATATTTAATTAGAAATATTCTCCGTTGTATGCATAGATATTTGAAGATAATTATCATATTTTATCAATTCAATATCGAATCTATAGGCATTCCATTGATTAAGCAGCGGTTGAAAAGAGCAAGGACCTCTGGCTTTGGCACCGCCTACGGCCACAATTAATCCGAATATTAATTATGCAGAATCGCATACCATACCACAGCCATATCGATTTGCCATAACTGACACATTTTCCAGCCATTGTTCCTTCTTCTGCGGCGGCTCCTGCAGCTGTTGCGGACTTGTGGGGGCCACAAAGAGCAGATGGAGATGACAGAGCCACTGCGCCTATTCCTCTGACGAGGGAGCACCACTCACAGTCTATGTGTGTGTGTGTGTGTGTGTGTGTGTGTGTTTGCAATTAGTAGCGCTTTATTCGTTAGTGTTGGTGCTGTTTGTACCACCATGCTGCCTGACAAATGCAAAGCCATATGATGCCGACTGGCCCGTCCGTGTAGACCGTACAATGACCCACATTGTGATGCGCTTTTATTAGACACGCGAGGCGCAAAAACAAAGGGGCCTCCACAATGGCTCCACACAATGGACGACAAAATTGTCATCATCATCATCAACATCATCATCATCAAACAGAAAACAGAAAAGCGAATGAAGGAACGAAGCTCACATGCAGACAATGCAAGTGTGGCACAGGTTACAGGACATTAAACTCGCATTCGTACGAGTACGAGTACGAGTACGAGTAACGAGTACGAGCAGCCGAGAAATGTGTGCAAATCATGGAAAAATTTGAAAGAAAAATTACTTTGATCAAGCTAGTTTTGAGTTCTACTTTATCGAACGACAAACAATGCGATCAAACAGTTTGGAAATTTTATTTGAAATATAACAAAAGGCAATTCTACAATATATTTTGGAAATGAATAGCAACGAGAGGCGTCGTTCCTCCGCGGCCACAGAGTTTTTGGAGGTTGTTGTGAGGCCCAAGAAATATTACAAAGCAAAGCATCCTCCCGATCATGCGGATCGTGATAAAATTATCGTCAGTTCAGGGGAGAAGTTTCGCATACTTAAAAACGTGGCCGTCATATCCCTGGCCATGACGATACAGTATGTGGCCTATCAGGTAACAACACACAGGCACCAATCTGATGGGGTAGCGTAACACTCGCTAAACCCCTATATCTCCATAGGGCACTCTCAATCTACAGTCATCGCTGAATGCCAAGGAGGGGCTGGGCACCATAGCCCTCTCTTGCATCTACCTTTCCATGGGCATATCCTGTCTGCTCCTGCCGACCATCATGATACGTCTGCTCACCTGTAAGTGGACCCTGGTCGTCGGACAGGTCTGCTTCATACCCTATATAGCCCTGCAGCTGTACTCGCGGTATGTGGTACCAGAAAAATCATCATGTTATTACTTATTGAGGGATCTCTTGCGTGCAGCTTTTACACACTCATTCCGGCGGGCATTTTGCTGGGCGTGTTTGCTGCCCCCATGTGGGCCGCCCATGCCACCTATCTCACCCAGATCAGTCAGATATATGCGATTATAACCTCCTCCCAGATGGACGCTGTGATCACGCTATTCTTTGGTATATTCTTCTTTGCCTGGCAGAATGCCGACACCGTTGGAAATCTACTATCCAGCTTGGGTGAGTTTTCGGGGGATCTCTGACTGGTTTGTTCTCCCACTTATATGTACATATAAACGTATATCTTACAAGAGCCATGATCTAATTTCAACTGAAAGCCATTTCTGGCAGCCTGCAATATCATTTTGCCCGTATAATTGCATTTATGATTAGATGAGGGGCCCCACAGTCGGCCCAGATTGAGCAGCAGAGGTAGTGAGATGTGGTAAGGGGAGTGTCCGGGGTACAGGTAGAGGTAGAGGTAGAGGTTGGGTCTTTTAACCAATGGGGCAGTTAGTCAGTTCCAGTTAGCCGCAAGAGCAGCCACCACCACCACCACCACCACCACCACCACCATCATCATCGTCATCATCATCACCAGCATCAGTGGGCGGACCACAGACGATAAGAGCAAGCGACACATGCAACAAAGCGGGCCAGTTTACACCTGCAACAGGGCTGGGGGGGAGTTTCACCTGCACCTGCATGGCCTTTCCCATGTAATTATTTGTAATTTGTTCTCCCAAGTGCAGGGCGAGTGCAGCCTGCTAACCAATTGTCCTAGTTGGTCCTTGTGCCCTCCACTAGGGCCTCACTCCCGTTCCCTCCTCCAGTTGTGTACATTCGGAAGTGCTTTGTTATGGTTGTTATTGCAGCTAATACAATATATATACATAGTGAGAGGAAGAGAGAGAGAGAGAGAGGGGGGCCAAGATGGGGCTGCTTGAATGCACATGTTAGTCGTCGTAAATCGAAAATGCCAACAGCTACTTAAAAGCCTTTCCATTTGAAATATTAGACGAGGCCTTAAGGAATGGCGTTGGGAAGGCGAACGACAGTGGGAGGACGTTGTCACTACACTCAGAGAAATAATAAACCCAAACGTAAAGAAATTAAATAGATTTCACTTTGATTTAAACATAAAACTATGAAAAAGTCTATAAAATAAATCAAATATAGTAAGATGGTAGGAAATATGTTTATTTTGATCAAATATTTTCATATTTATGTTAAAATGAAAGTGAAAACTGTTTTTTGCTTGCACAATTTCTCTCTTCCAGAGGTGGGCTTTTTTCTCTGTGTGTACCAGCACATTTATATAGATTGATGATGGCGACATCGTAGCTGACAAACGGAAACGGAAATGTTTTTGCCTCTCTGTCAGTCGCCTCGACATTCAGAAATAATTAACCCAAAAATAGCCAGAAAATCCAGCCGGAGAGTAAGCCAAAAAGCTTATGGCGTAATTGTCTAATGGCAGCGACAAAAGCGAGTCCAATGCGAGGGGCTATGGGCACCATAAATTGTCACAAGTCCAGGAAGTCCAGGGCTATATCCCTTGACGGGGTGGGGCGGGGCGCGGGTGAGTTGTTCTATGCTAATCTCCAAGGAGGAGACTCCTTCCAGGCCAGTCGGACCGGAGTCTGAGTCAGCAGCGTAGACTACCCCTGTAGATCTTTCAATTACGCCTCACCACAAAAGAAATCAGCAGCACAAAACAGAATCCCGGGGCATATGCCTGGGGGTCGCGTCGCCTTCAAGTTGAATACATTTCGATTAATACAAATTTGCTTGCTTCCCTCTTTTTGAATGCAAAATCGAATTATGCGCGGAATTTAAGTGGAATTCGGTTCGAGGGGCGTGAGCGAGAAATTCTGCGAAAATTTGCATCAATTTTTCTTTGCATTAACAACGGGAAGAGGTGGGAGGTCGCGAAGAGCAAGGGATGGTAGTGGATGGTATTGGATGGGATGGGATTGGGATGGGATTGGGTGAGAGGGAATGGGATTGTGCCGAGAGCTATCTGTGCCATTATTGAGTTAATAAATCACATGCCAGCTTCAATTACAGCCACAGCCCAGCCCAGTGCAAATGCTTACCTCAAAAATGCCGTTGACTGACAACTGAAGCTTCTGCTGGAATGCCTGAATGCTCGAGGAGCAGAAATGTCATTACCAGCCACTTGAAATATTCGATTTTCTATTCAAATGCTAAATTTGCGTAATAACTCAGCCCCCCAGTGCCAGAGTCCCAGTCTGTATCTTCGCAATTCGGGCTTGTTTGCCATTTTGGTTGGGTGAAAAGGAAAGGAAAATATATCCAAAATTGAAGTGCTGAGAGTGGGCGTGTCTCCCTGGCTGAATGACAAACTGACGGAATGAATGACTGAATGAATGAATGCTGACTTCAATGAGTGTCGTCTCAAGCATGTTGTTGGGGCTTAATAGAAATTGCCATGGAATTGAATTAAACATGCGAGAGAGTAGGGAAAGTGGTCTGCCTTCTGTGTGAGTGGCAGTCGTTCTTTGTACGCGTTGCGCTCGTTGGTTTTTACTCGCTCAAATTCCACAGCTCGCTACTCGTTGCAGCTGTGAATCATTCATTAAAGCTGTGGCGACTATCAAACAGAGCGAGTGTCAAACGGGGCGAGTGTCAAACCGGGCGAGTATCAAACGGGGCGACTATCAAACAGAGCGAGTGTCAAACATCGAAAGTAGCGAATAAAACTCGCTACTCGTTGCAGCTGTGAATCATTCTTACCATTATAGAATTTGCTATATAATTAAATTAAACATGCGAGAGAGAAGGGAAAGTGGTCTGCCTTCTGTGTGAGGGGCAGTCGTTCTTTGTACGCGTTGCGCTCGTTGGTTTTTACTCGCTCAAATTCCACTACTCGCTACTCGTTGCAGCTGTGAATCATTCTTACCATTATAGAATTAGCTATATAATTAAAATAAACATGCGAGAGAGAAGGGAAAGTGGTCTGCCTTCTGTGTGAGGGGCAGTCGTTCTTTGTACGCGTTGCGCTCGTTGGTTTTTACTCGCTCAAATTCCACTACTCGCTACTCGTTGCAGCTGTGAATCATTCTTACCATTATAGAATTAGCTATATAATTAAAATAAACATGCGAGAGAGAAGGGAAAGTGGTCTGCCTTCTGTGTGAGTGGCAGTCGTTCTTTGTACGCGTTGCGCTCGTTGGTTTTTACTCGCTCAAATTCCACTGCTCGCTACTCGTTGCAGCTGTGAATCATTCATTAAAGCTGTGGCGACTATCAAACAGAGCGAGTGTCAAACGGGGCGAGTGTCAAACCGGGCGAGTATCAAACGGGGCGACTATCAAACAGAGCGAGTGTCAAACATCGAAAGTAGCGAATAAAACTCGCTACTCGTTGCAGCTGTGAATCATTCTTACCATTATAGAATTTGCTATATAATTAAATTAAACATGCGAGAGAGAAGGGAAAGTGGTCTGCCTTCTGTGTGAGTGGCAGTCGTTCTTTGCACGCGTTGCGCTCGTTCGTTTTAACTCGCTCAAATTCCACTACTCGCTACTCGTTGCAGCTGTGAATCATTCATTAAAGCTGTGGATCATTCTACCCCATTCGTTTATTCATTGAACAAATTACGAAAGCATGAATAGATCGCGAAAAGTTCCCCAATGCCAATGCCGAAGTTGATTTTTCCCTCGTTCGGGGACGCAGTACAGCGTGAACGTGCGAACAAACCGGATATCCGTTCATGGAGCGGATGTTGCCTGATTTCCGACCCATTGACAGCCACCCCCCCACAGATAATCGGCCATAATTTATCTTCAACTTGCATTAAATGACAAAAATGTATTGTGCTCTCGGTTCGGTATTGTTGTGCTCATAAATCAGAGATCAAGCCCCCGAGCTCGTTAATTGCTTTGGAAATGCGGCCAAACTGGGTTAAGCTGAAATTAGTTGTTTAGAGTCGGACTTCGTGGTGGGGCAAAAACATTTGTGATTTAGCTTTTCGATTGGACTCTCTGCCTGCAATTGTAGTTCCGTTTTGTTGGCCCAACTTTTTCCACAAACACACACCAACACACACACACAACTGGCTCAAACAATATTTCAGAACGAGCGGTGCCCCGCCCAGAGGAGAGCTCTGGCTCTGGCTCTGGCTCTGGCTCGGTCCCTGTCTCTGGCTGTGATTCTGGGTTCCGTTTCTGTTTCTGGCGGATTGGGGCTGGGGATACATGCACAGTAAATTTTCATTTGCAAGACGCTTCCCAGTGTTTCCAGTGTTCCCAGGGAGTGGGATATGCATTTAAATACGTGTTGAATTATTGTCCTGCAGCAGCAAGGAGCAGCAGAATATGGCGAGGACATGCTCCAGTTGTGCACAGCTACAGCTACATGCTCTTCCCCCCCCCCCCCCCCCCCCCCCTTCCGCTCACACGCCACACCCCACACACCCCTTCCTGTATCTATTAAATTAAATTGCTTAATTTTCTGCAATTGCAAGCAGAAAGAGCGAGAGCGCGGGATGGTGCTGAAGGAGCGCTATGGAGGACATGGAGGACATGGAGGGAAAGGAACATCAAACATTACAAAACTTTCATCATTGTGTGACATGGAATTATGTATTTGTTTGCTTGTTTCTACTTCTCCTTGTCCCTCTCCCTCTGCCGCTCCCCCTTCCGTTCTTCTATTGTTTCAGTCGCCTGGCAACATTCATTTCAGTTGTTTAGATTTTATTCTCTGAAATTTTATTTATTGTAGACTGTTCTCCGAGAGAGAACTCTCGGTATTTACGTGCATGCAGAGTGGCTTTCATTCTCTGCTTCATTGTTGCTGCTGCAGGCCCTTGTTTTTTGGTAGTTGCTCAGTATATGGCAATAATAGCAATAATAATTAAAATAAATGGACTGTTATTCGGTGTCATGTGGTCCCAAGGGTGTTTATGAAGCAGCAAGGAAGAAACCAAATACATTTGTTTCGCTTGTTCCGCAAACACCAAAGCTACACTCAGAGAAAAACACACTGATACTCTTATACATTGCAGTTACATTTGAAGATGTATCCCAATAGACTTGCTAGGGGACTGGAAGTTGGAATAAGAAACGGGTTTCACTGACATTTAATACGAAAATATTTTATTTAAATATAAAATTAATTTCGTATTTCGTACCGAATATTTAGTTTAATGTCATTTTTCTCTGAGTGGTAAAGAAGAACACAAAACTAG